TACTTGTATCGCTGAAGTTCCTCGGGAAGAATTTATACCGGGAAATTAACAAACAAGCAGATACGTAACAATAGAAAGCTTTCGATAGATTTGGGAAGTTTGTACTATATATATTAAGATCAAAATAAAATAAATCGATTGATTTTTGATACATAAAATTTGGGAAAAGAAAATAATCTATAATTGAATAATACAAAAATCAATGTTTTTGTAAAGCTTTAAAAAATATTACAAGAGCTTCCAAGTAATAGAGATATTTGTGGTAGTGAATTTATGAAATCAAATCGCTTGAAAATTGATTATTGAAAATTAATTTTTCATGCATTTCATTATGATTTTTGTTAAACTACAGTTAGTATATGATCATTTCTGGTCAAGGAATCAAAAACTACAGCTTGTCTTAAAAATTAACGTGATATATACCAATATTTTTGTTTAATACTTACACAGAGTTTGTTTGAATTTCATAGCATGAAAATAAATTGTATAATACGTATTTATTTTTATCTTTAGATTTTCATTTACTGAAGGAAATAGTTTGTATGAATAATTTTAGTTGAGAGAGCTTTTCGAAAGAGAAAAGTATCAAAAACGCAAAGTAAAAGGTATACTTATATATATTCTATACGATTTTTTATTGAATACATAAAAACGCGTGATACATTGGCATTTCTCAACATTTATATGTTTCTAAAGAAAGGTTAAAGCTAAAATAATGAACAGAAAATAAAATATTTAAATGGAGTTAAATATCTTAAGTACTACTAAAACTTCAAGAAATAGTGGAAGTATTATTAGATTTTTCGTATTTATGAAAAAACATTTATGCCTGAAACTTCGACTTTCTTTTAAAGTCAAATTGTAAAAACACAAATAAAGAAACTGAACTCCAGTTTTGAAATATATATATATCTCACTCTGACTAAGTGTAAAATAGTTTAGATGATATTCAAAATTCAGTCTTGGCCAATATATTTGCATACTGTTCTATATTGATGTTATTTTCTACATGCATGGAATAGTTATTGACTAAATGCCAAAGTAGTAACAGAGAAGGTAGCGTATGATCGGACAAACAAGCACGAGTTGTTATTCTGGTCTGTTGTTTTGAGCATTTGTTCGTCAAAACACACATACACATCTGTTTTGTATAAAATGGTGTGTTTTATGTATAATCTTTTTCGAAACAGATCAAAAGTTGGTTCAGACAATTTCTGCACACTTGATGTTCAGTCATGCCTCGTCTCTTGTCAGGTGTTATTAGGGTGTCAAATTGTTCATCTAACCAGAAATTGTATGAAGCAAACGGACATTGCTAGAATAGTTGGGTGCCCTCAGTGTACTATATCCCGAATCCTGAATGTCATTGGACTATGTTGTTTCAGGAAAGTCTACTGATAGATGCCGAAAAACAAATCTCCTATGTTGCTCAGGTTAACATGTCAAGTTCGAAAGAAGGCTTACAACACCTTAAGACAGGAATGATATGAACATATTTATTCTAGGGTATCCAAAAGAACAGTGAATAGGAAACTGACTAAACAAGGTTATTTTTCAAGAAGTGCTATCTACAAACCCATACTAGGTTCCACTGCTGTCACTGTAGACTTGGGCAAGACAGCATGCCAACATACACTTAGGACACTGGTGATATGTTTTCTTTGTAGATGAGTCCTGTTTCCGACTTGTTAAATCTGATGGTAGGATTCGTGCTCGTCGTTTGCTTGGAGAACAGACGAGGGAAAACGAGGTGGTGCAGAACATATTTGATTAGCTATTCATTATGGTGGTGCTTTATATCCTTCAGGAAAACATCAATGGCGCCTTTTACAGGCATCATATGGAGATTATATTTCTGTCATATGGTAAGGCAAGGTTTGGCAATTACTTTGTGATCCAAGATGACAATGCCACTGCCCACAGTTCGCATATTGTATAGCATTATCTCGACTAAGAGGACATTACAAGAATGTTATGACCAGGAAAGTCTCCAGAATATAATCCCATTGAGAGCTCTTTGTATTTCCGAAATATTGCTAACCACGACCCTAAACCAGCTACTGTGGCTGAGTTTCAGCGCATTCTGGTGACAAGTTGGGATGAAATAACGGTGGGTTACATCAATAACCTCATCAACAGTATGCCACGTCGTCTTGCGGAGGTTATTAGAATACGAGGAGTACCAACCAAGTACTGAACGTTTAATATGAATTGATATAAGGTTCCATACGCTGTTTATAATATTTTTATGTTATATTTTGTTATTGTATTTGTTTAGGTAAGGTTTTGTTGTGATAGACAAAGTGCTGAATTACATATCCTTCTACTGGTGTCTGATAAAATCGTTTGCTGTTCTAATAAGTCGTTCATAATGTCCATAGAACCTGTTTCATTATATAAATTACATAAGTAATTACGTAGGTGTTTAATATAACATGCATTTCTCAGTTTGACAGTGTCAATTGTATTTGTATTCCATCTTAATAATAATGATCTTATTTTTTAGAAAATGTGCAAACATTTTGACAAAGACTTTAGAAGTATGCAGGTAGAACTAAACATATGCAAATTGCTTTTACGTAGTTTATTAACAATATAAAAATATTCTAATTGAAACTTTTTACATAAGAAATAACCTTTTTTATGCAGTTTACTTCTTTGTTTTAAGTAAATTGTAATTAAGAGGACGTAATTCGGATACTAAGAAAATAAATTATTGAGATTTCGAAATAGCTTTCGATATAATTGTTGCAAAATTTAACAATAATAATGATTTCAGTTTAGAAGGATATACTATCATATGTTAATTTCATGGTTCAAAATTTAACAATAATACTTATTTCAGTTTAGAAGGATATACTATCATATATTAATTTCATGGTTCAAAATTTAACAATAATACTTATTTCAGTTTAGAAGGATATACTATCATATATTAATTTCATGATTCAAAATGTTATTACTTTATTACGATGATGGGAAATGCACTACTTGTGTTTCTCTGCGTGAATAACTTACCTGCACGAAGTTCGGTGGATTTTATATCCCTAATAAATAGCTCCTCTATGCTCTGTGAATATTCCTGTACTATCACAGAGGTGCAACGTATGTGGGTGGGGTTGTTCCACTGGTGCGTTTGCTTGACGACGAAGGTTAGAGCTAACTTGGAACCAAACAGTTTTTCTTTTGTTATTGGTAAAAGTGGTTTTTGATAATTCTTGGGTGTCTGAAATAGCCGATTAGATTAAGGAAAACTTTGGTTAATACCGTATACTTATATTTAACTACTAAAGTCGTCGAATTATGGATAATATTTTTAACATTTCCTTACAAAACCTGCATGAAAGAATACTTGTTATTTTGTGGTTCTTATTTGTAATGGAACTCAATTTAATAAAGTTAAAAACTTAATGCTAAAACCACAGGCCTGAAACAATGCACTTCAATTCTCCACTTTACCTTGGCATTTCTTTTACTTTGAATATGGAAGTTATTCAATATAAGTTGGTTTATCTCCAAACTTTAGGATATATTAATGTGCAAATGTAGCATAACGGTTAGTTTAAAAGTTAGGTTTTTGTAAGTATAAATTTCAAACTGTCGTGTTGTGCATAGACCCTTTGCCTTGATTTTGGTCATTTAAATATGTTTAAAGGTAGTGAAAACCCATGTAATGAATTATAACAGGGTTATATATTAAGATGTACAAAATATTAATTGTTCAGTTTGTTTTTAAGCTATTTATTGGGCTATTTTTACTGTGCCCACCGCGGGTATCGAATCCATATTGTTAGCGTTATAATCTCACAAGTTTACCGTTGAACCAGCGGGGGGAGGGGCATGTGCAGAGTAATCGTATCAATCGTATCGGGTTATGTCCGAACGTTGCGCTGTTTGACGTTGAAGCGCAAAACTGCACAATGGACTATCTGCGCTTTACCCACCACAGAAGTTAAACCCCGATTTTTAGTGTTATAAGCTCTAAATTTAAAAATACGCGTAAAGCATCAAGATGTCCACTTGACTAATTCTTTCACTGCTACATTCGTGAATAAAGAACACTCCCGATGCCTGGATTATTTTTAGATATATGGTCAAAAATAGAAAGACAAATGTCTAAACATTACATTATTCACCTGAAACTTGAAAAGATTAGGAATTTTAAAGGAGTAGACCCTTTCTTCATGATGATACAAAGTATCAAACTCCCATAACATAAGCAACAAATTCAACAGACAGGAATAGAAGTTTAACAATGAATAAAAGTACAACAGCAAAAACACTTGAAATTTGTGAAACAGAAACAAATATTTAATACTTGAACGTTTCGGAATATACATGTTTCGTCTTCAGCAAGCTAGATTAAACGAGATAAAATATAAAATACAAATAATTCTAAATTTATAAAGCTCCAATATTTTATAAAAAAAAGAATTAAAGTACAAGGTAAAATAATGAAATAAATTAATGATTTTAAGATAGAGCGCAAACATAATCATTACAGTTTTTTTTAGAACAATACGAACTGAAGTGAAGTTATGTTTTGAGTTGGGAGCTCATTTATAATAGATAGACACTCTTTAATTAAAAAAAATCGTTTTGTTATTTGATGATCTAGGTAAAATGATTTTGAAAGTTTTTATCAAAATAAGGTGATTGCTTATTTTACTATGTGTGCAGATTGCGGAGTCTGTAGTATTTGAAAGTTGAACTGGTAAAAATTGCAGTTTCAAAATATTACACGTACCGGTTTTTCTTTAATGTTGTATTAGTCTATATTATCTATACAAATTAATCCGCCGTATTAGAGATACTTAAAAATCTATCACAAGATTATCTATCTATAAGAAGTGAGGTTAACTATTTAATAAAACGTTAACGTTAGAAAGTAAAACTGTAATCTCAATTAATAATACACGTTTAAAATAAGGAAGGGCAATTCAAAGCTTTGTAGTAAGCGACGCAAAGAAGAATTAAACTAACCTGTGAACGTTAGTATTGATAAAATTCCTGAAAACCACTTAAAATACATCACCTGTCCGACTTTTGACACACATTTTCTTTTATCATTTTCCGTGAACTATCTCTTTTGTAAGCAATATTTTCTCTACGATAGTTACCACTTTTCCCTAATATAACAAACTCTTCGTTAGTAAGTTATTCATTATAGAGAAAATCACTCTTTCAGAATTTCAGGGTTCGAAGAAATGGATCCCTTTTTAACTAGACATAGCAAATTATGTATTCGTTCATAAATCGCCAGTTGGGATCGTCACCTTAGGTATACTCAATATCATTACAAATACATCTAGAAGAAAATATCTTATGGTGTAGAAATATCACATATTTGGTTTAATAACGCTTTAGCTATCTGTCTTTAGCTCCAATTTCTCATTCGTTTCTAGGTTCTGTATCTTTTATAATTCAGTAATGTTATGCTTTTCTTACAAAATCATCACTTCATTCACCTAATGTAAAAATCAAGACAGAATTATTCTACAAATCTGTAAATTATTACAAAATCACACTAAAACAATAAATGCTTAATTTACGACATCGTATTAACGCGTTTCATGTTAGCCTATAAAATCTAAAACACGAAAAGTTCAGAATGCAAACTTCAAAGGTAGTTGAAATAATATTATAATCAGATTTACATATCAGACAATACATTCACGTAGGAAAAGCGCTTGTGTTTAATTAAATTAACGTGCAGGAAAAACACCCATAATTATAATATATTAATTCTTGAAGTTGAGCATACAGTTGAATTTACATTAAAATATTCATACAATGCCTATAATAATTAAAAAATTTAACGTAGAAAATCTTAGACACAGATATGAATGAACCTAACTCAAACTTCATAAAATTCATTAAATCATGACACATTTAGATATGTATGAAAATTATTATGATTTTACAAATATAACTTTTTAGAATAATCGTTTTAGTAAGTATAAGTATTTGTTAAGTAGTTCACAAAAGATGAAGAAATGAAACAAACAGTAGGAGTTTCTAAGCTGTATAAGAATCGTATAATGGTGAACTATTTACATGACAGACACATCCACATTCATCACGGATTAACAAAAACGGTGGGTGAAACAGCTCCCATCAAGGGGATGTGTGACATCTCCTACCCAGCGCATCCACAAGGTGGCGGATAATGGGATGACCTCATAGGAGCTGCGAATAAGGGTTTGTCCAATTAAGCAGTCGCGGACTAAATGTCGTAAGGTTGCAGAAGACGAGGTGTGTCATTCTGGTGGTGCAAATGTCGTGATGAAATGCCTCACATATCCAGAGAATGGACCTCAGGGGCGCCCTAAAACGTCTATTTTTTTTACCCCTACTGCCTTGTGGGTGAGACCAGAAAGCTAGAAGGCTAAGGGAAGGATACCTAACTATTTGACTAACATAACATACTTAAAATTATATCCTAATTATTTGACTAACATAACATATCTAAAATTATATCCTAATTACTTGACTAACATAACATATCTAAAATTATATCCTAATTACTTGACTAACATAACATATTTAAAATTATATCCTAATTACTTGACTAACATAACATATCTAAAATTATATCCTAATTACTTGACTAACATAACATAAAATATTGAAACAAAAAATACAATTGATCTTTATTATTAAATTTCATCTGATAGATTGGTTCCTTTCTGGAATATATTATTGTATTTTAACACGGTACTTACCATTGAGCTGTCGCACAAAAGAAATCAATTCGTTACAATAATTCAGCATTACTGTAATAAATTATATGCAAGGTTTAGAATACTTGTTGAATTTAAAATACTTTAAATGAAAATTCTAGTGAATTGTTACAGTTCGTATCACAGTAACCTTTGCAGGAATGATTTTCTGTGAAAGATTGCTAATGTAAAATATTTCAAAGTAAACTGACCATTATTGTCGTAGTTGATAAATTAAAAGATCCTTATCTGGATCATACGATTCGTGTAATTAAAATTGTAATACAATTTCACATCATGTTTCGAATAAGAAAACATAATTTTATGGTTATGAAGTATTGGCACAGCAGTATGTCTGCGGACTTACAACGCTAAAAACTGGGTTTCAATACCCATGGTTGGCAAAGTACAAATAACCCATTGTGTAGCTTTATGCTTAACTTCAAAAAAATAATCATGAAGTATTGGTTTGATATTCGATGACGAGGAACCCACTTTGAGACTAATAATGGCTGGAGACGGCTTGAATGGGTAATGAAGAAACACTTTAATATATGATGATGACAAAACCTTGTCGAAACGTTGTACATTTACTGTTATGTTAAACTTATATTAAAGTTTTTCTTCATTACCCATTCAAGCCATCCCCAAGCATTATTGGTTTGATATGTTTTCAATTTCGCGTAAAACTACTCGAGGGCTATATATGCTAGCCGTCTCCAATTTAACAGCGACGGACTAAAGGGATGGAAGCTAGTCAACACCACTCACCGCTAACTCTTAAACTATTCTGTCACTAACAAATAGTGGAATTGACCGTCACGTTATAATGCATCCACGGCTGAAAGGGCAGGCATGTTCGGTGACAGGGATTCGAACCCGCGAACCGCGAGTCGACTGTCCTAACAACCAGGTCATGCCAGGCCGATTACGAAGTATTGATTATCATGTTTTAAGATCTCATATTAGTTTAAATTATTAATAACAAAACTAATAACGTTGTACCATTGGTATTAGAATGTTCAGATACGTAATTGTATACACTAAATTCCAGTAAGTACATTTTGTAGCTGTACTTACAAACACCAAGGAATAGTGAAAGTTTTAAAGTGTATATTATTTTATATTTATATATGTCAACTGGTTGAACAAAACAATCAGTTTTCTTGAGAAACATGTATATGCAATGCATGACTAAAGTTTGTTTTGAATATTCACTCAAGGCTACCCAAGCTTTAGTCGTTAACAGGTGCCACATAGATTGTTGGTAAGGATTTATTTAAAAGTTTATTTTTTAATATCGACAGACTATTGGCTAATCCGTTTAATAATCAGATAATGTTTTTGTCTTATTGAATATAGAAGCTTACCCAGAAAAATATGTTAAAGAATAATAATTCGGAAAATTATGATTTTGACTAATAATAAATACTAAGCTGCCAACGGAAGAGATTATAAGTGAATGATATTTATAGTATAAGTCAATCCTTGCCAATAATGCATT